GTCAGTGTGACAAAGTCATCAGCAAAGCTAACGGCACTTCATTGTGCAGCAGCAGAACCAAGGAGGTGATATTTCCCCTCTATCGGGCGCTGGTCAGACTGCAGCTGGAGTACTGCATCCAGTTTTGGGCGCCGCACTTTAAGAGAAATGTGGATAACCTGGAGAGGGTCCAGAGAAGGGCCACTCGTATGATTAAGGGCTTGCAGGCCAAGCGCTACGTGGAGATACTAGGGCACCTGGACCTCTTCAGCCTCCGCAAGAGAAGGTCGAGAGGCGACCTTGTGGCTGCCTATAAATTCATCATGGGGGCGCAGAAGGGAATTGGTGAGGCTCTACTCACCAAGGCGCCCCTGGGGGTCACAAGATATAATGGCCATAACCTAGCAGACAGCTGATTTAGACTGGACATTAGGAGGAACTTCTTCACAGTTAGAGTGGCCAAGGTCTGGAACGGGCTCCCAAGGGAGATGGTGCTCTCCCTACCCTGGGGGTCTTCAAGAGGAGGTTAGATAGGCATCTGGTTGGGGTCATCTGAACTTAGTACACTTTCTTGCCTGTGCAGGGGGTCGGACTCAATGATGTATTGAGGTCCCTTCCGACCCTAACATCTATGAATCAATGAACCCAGGAAAATCCTGTGAGATCTGGAAGTCTTGGGTTTAAGCAGTCTGTTGCTCTATTTTCTTGCCTACATCAGGCACCGTTTCCCCCAAAATCACCCTCCCCCCCACAAAAATAAAGTAAACGGGGGGCATACATATGAAGCCAGTGTTTCCAAGCCAGTGTGCTGTCTGATGTGCCATCAGGCACGTCCAGGTGTGCTGCGAACTTGGGCTGGAGCCACGCCCCCCACGTGCTGCCCTGGGGACACAGACGGACATGGAGCGTGGGTCCAGCTCAAAATGCCATCTGGCTGGCCACACACCATGCCTCCCCATTGGCATCCAGCTGGCTGTGAACCCCCCATTCCCAACTGCCCACCCCTGATCTGCGTCTGGTGTGCCATGGTGCTTTTTATTTAGGTAAGTGTGCCGTGGGGGAAAAAGGTTGGGAAACACCATATTGAGCATTAGCTATGGCGTTGCTGTTCAGGCAGCTGAGGGTTATGGCTCAGTTCTTCACTGCGCAGGCATTAAGGATGGTCTCTCCTTCTTTATAATGGTCTTGATGTTTCACTGATCAAGCCCACCTTTCTTAAGACAGTGTTGTTATCTGCTGGCTGGTCCTAGCCTCCCTTGTTTCACAGCCCTGGAGACTAGCTCTTTTAAAATCATAGACCCCCTGTGGAGACCACTTTTCAGCTGCATCTAGGGTTCTAGTTAAGCAGGAAAGTGAGGGTGGGTCAGCTGAAGATTTGGCCCTGCCCCTGCTCTGTGCAGCCATAACTCTGGAAACTTTTTATTCTTTCATCCTATCTTCAAAAACAAGCATGTGTTGTATTCCAAAGCATGTTATATTGTGAGAATATATAACATTTTCCATGCTCTTCTGACCAATATTTCTTGTTCATAGCATGCAGACAAAATTGAAAACCCTCACTCCTATTTGAAGTGTTTTAATGCATCCAGAATGTATTTTATATTTGTTTTATAGCAGCCACTTGTCCATATGACCATCAGTCATTTTAGTTTTTTTCCCATTAAACAATTTGGTATGTTTAATTCATAAATAAAGTGCGATTGAATGACCCCCCCCCCCCCCCC